TTTCCCATGAAGAAGAATCCAGGAACAAGTAACTTCATGGGTGAATTCTATCAAATATTTAAAGAATACTAATCCTTCACAAACTCAGAAAATAAAAGTGGAGGGAACACTTCCCAACTCATTCTAAGGACAATCTTACCATAAATCTAAAGCCAGACAAACACATCACAAGAAAATCACCTACCAATATTTCTCATGAACACAAACACAAATATCCTAAATATAATATTACTAAACCAAATCCAGTAACATATAAAAAGAATTATATACCATGACAAAGTGGGATTTATCCTAGGAATGCAAAGTTAGTATAACATTTAAAAATCAATTAGTGTAATAAATTATATTTATAGTATAAAGAAATAAAACCACAGGGTCATCTCAGTAGATGCAGAAGAGCACCTGACAAAATCCAATATTTATTCATGATAAGAATTCTTGACAATCTAGGAACAGAAGGCAAGTTCCTCAATCTGATAAAAAGCATTTATGAGAAACTTATAGCTAACATCATACCTAGTGGTAAAAGATTAAATGCTTCCCCCTGAGATCAGGAACAAGTTAAGAATGTCCACTCCCCCACTTCTATTCAGCAATGTACTGGAGGTTCTATGCAAAAAAAGGAAAAGGTATCCAGATGCAAAGGGAGACATAAAACTGTCTATATTCACGGATGGCATGGTAGTATATGTAGAAAATTCTAAGGAATTCACCAAAAAAACCTGCTTGAACTAATAATAAAGCAAAGTTACAGGACGCAACGTTAATATACAAAAATCAATTGTATTTTTATATATTGGCAATGAAAAATCCAAAAATGAAATTTGAAAAAAATTCTATTCACAATAGCATCAGAAATGAAACACTTCAAAATAAATTTAACAAAAGGGCAAGACTTATACACTGAAAATAACAAAACCTGGGGCCAGCCGAGTGGTTCAGTTGGTTCAGAACGCAAACTCTGAGCAACAGGGTCGCCAGTTCGATTCCCACATGGGCGAGTGAGCTGTGCTCGAGTTGAGCTGTCCCTGAGCTGCCAACAGGTGGCAGGATAGCTCAGCTGGTGAGAGCACGTTGCTCCTAACAACAAGGTTGCCAGTTCCACTCCCACATGGGATGGTGGCCTACGCCCACCCACAGCTAAGAATGAACACAGCACCTTGAGCTGAGTGGCCGACTGGTGGCCGGATGGCAACTGGACTTGGAGCTGAGCTAACTGCGCCCTCCACAGCTAAGTTTGAAGGACAACAACTTAGCTGTTCCCCTTCCCCAATTCACCAACAAAAATCTTTAAAAAAAAAATAAAATTACAAAATGTGGCTGAGAGAAATTAAAGAGCTAAGCAAAAAGAAAGACATTCCATGTTCCTTTTAAGATGGCAATTCTCCCCCAAAGATATACAGAATCAATGCAATTTCTATCAAAATCCATCACAAAAGGCTTTTTTGGGAAAAAATAACAAGCTAATACTAAAATTTCTATGAAAATGTAAGGAACCCAAAATAGCCAAAACAATTTGAAAAAGAAGAAAAAGAATGGAAAACTTACACTACCCAATTTCAAAATTTACTATAAAGCTCCCATAATCAAGACAGCATGGTACTGGTATAAGAACAAGCATACAGATCACTGAAACAGACAATCTAGAAATAATTTATGGTCAATTGATTTTTGACAAAAGTGCCAAGGCAATTAAATGAAGAACAGTTTTTTTTCAACAAATAGTGCTGGGACAATTGGATATCTACATAAAAAAGATGAAGAATTTGGACCTACATCTACTACAATATACAAAAGCTTAAAGAAATTGATCATAAACCTAAAGCATGAGTCAAAAAAAATTTGATAAATTGGACTTCCTCAAAATTAAAAATGTTTGTGCTTCAAAAGATACCATGAAGAAAATCAAAAGACAATTAACAAACTGGGAGAAATTATTTGCAAAACATGAATCTGATAATAAGCTTATATGCATAATATACAAAGAATGCTTAAAACCCAGGACAAACAACTGAATCAAAGAATGGACTAAAGATTTCAATACACATTTCAAAGATGACGTAAGATTTGCTAATATGCACATGAAAATATGTTCAACAAAGACATACTACTTCACACCTACTAGACTGGGACGGCTACAAGAAAAGACACAATAAACAAGTGAAGATATGGAAAAAATTGAAATCTTAGTATATTGCTGATGGGTATATAAAATGGTACAGCCACATTGGAAAACATTTTGGCAGTTTCTTACTATACAATCCAGCAATTCCACTTACAGGTATCCATCCAAGAAAAATGAAAACATATGTCCACACAAATACTTGTACACGAATGCTCACAGCAGCATTATTCATAATAGCCAAAAAGTAGAAGAAAATCAAGTGTCCATTAACTGATGAATGGATAAACGAAATGTGGTCTTTCCACACAATAGAACACCGCTCAGCAATAACCAGGAACAAACTATTGACACCTGCTACAACATGGATGAACCTCAGAAACGTTGTGCTAAGTGAAAAAAGCCAGACACAAGACAGCACTTATTTCATCAATTCATTTATATGAAATGTCCAAAAAGGCTAATCTATAGAGACAGAAAGCAAATCAATTGTTGCCTGAGGCTGAAAGCCAGAGCCAGGACTGAGCACAAACTTGCATGCACAAACTTGTTATATGGTGACTGCAAATGTTTTAAAACTGAATTGTGGTGATCACTGCAAATTCCCAAAACCTACCAAATTAACAAAAAACCACTGAATTCTTTAGAAGACAGAGTACATCACTTCAAAAAGGTGATTTCCATATGAACTGTGCCTTCTTGTAACTAAAAAAAGGTACCAAGGAGATTATAGATGTTCCTATATTAGAGATCTTAACAGGGAAATGATTTCTACATGCCCAGAAGAGTTTATAAAGAGCCTAAGGAATGGACCAGATAACATTGCAAGGTCTCTTCCAAACTGAGTCAAAAAAATTGATATTTAGTAAAAAATAAAATGTCCAAGATTTGCATTGTTAATCTAATTTTTCTGATAAATTTTTAACTTTTTCCTTCTCTACTTCTGCATTTGTATTAAAACACTGCAAACTCAATGTACTCCTTTTCTTGGTGTTCCTTCAGTCATTTAGGATCCATAAACAAGAACAGAGAATACACACACCCCAGCCTAAAATAAAATTTTATAAATCCATTTGGTACTGATTTCCAGGCTGATTTTAGACTTCACCACTACCAACCTGGAACTACCACACATGTGAGATTTCTCTGGCACTCTGCAGCCTAGCTAATCAATCCAACTTTCTACTGGCCAGGCTGGCCTCCCTGTAGCTGGTTTTCATAAATATGAAATTTGTATAATTGTTACTGGAACTACTTGCTGAAATATGGAACTAGTTTAAAATACCATTTATTTTTAAATGTACACGCACAGTTTCACATGCATGCATCAACACACCTTCCACATCCAGCCAATCAATCAAGTTAATGCTTCTTATTAGCGAACAAAACAAAAATTCTAGTATAGAATTTGCCCCTCTTTTCTGGAACCTTAGTAAACGTTTTTCAAGACATCAAGAAGACTATGACGAATAATGAAAAATGAATTAAAATGCATATATAATATACCAAAGTATAATTAGTCCAATTCTAAATAAACAGGACCTAACATTTATTCTGGGGGAAAGAGGTTTTTGATATAACTAGGAAAAGCGAGTTCTTTTCTGATGCAGCCTTTCTTGTATGAATAATGTATATGTACGCTGATTTCCACGTGAATCTGGCACAGTACATTAGATTGAAACATCAATTTGGTTTAACTTTAATGGATAAAGTCACAATGAACATGTTTTCTATCTAAGCTTATATAATAAATGATCCCAACACATGGTATGAATTCTATCATTTGTAACAACCTTTCCTCCCCATCTTGAGGGGGAGTAATGAGAAAATGTTCTGAGCTGCACATCACTGAAGGTGAGTGACATCCATAAATAGCTGACGTTGGGTGGCCCAAAAGTGCCCTGCTCCTCTGTTAAATGATAAGTCAATCACATCTCAGGATGCATTAAATGGGACACAGATTAGAACAAAACCGGGAGCCAGAGAACTTTCAAGTTTCAGGGTAGGACAAAAGCACAGGCACACACAGATCTTTGCCAGAAAACTCCTCGTCCTCTTTACTTAAAATTCTGGCCCCAAATTTCTCATGTTTCAAAAACTAAAAGAAAATTTCATCCTCCAGACCCCTACATCATACAACATTACCATAAAGAGTTCATAGTTGTAAACGCGCCCATGTAAAAAATTTTTAAAAAGCAAGCCAACAAACAACACCCCCAAAAAATCTCTCAAGGGTTCTGGACGCGATTTGGCCTGGCATTCAAAGAAAGTTGTGGGGAGACGATCGCCCATCAGAAAGATCCTGGGATGAAAGGCCTGGAGGGCGGGAGAGTAACAACCGCGCCCCAGGCTCCCCTAATTGGCCTCGCCCCTCCCAATGCCCAGGCGCGAAGGGAAGGCGGAGAGCATGCGGCCAGCTGTAGAGGATGATGGGTTGAAGGGGGCGAGCTTTCAACAGCTCCCACGGATCCAGGGCGAAGAAATTCACCTTTGCTCCCCTGCTTTTAAGACATAGCTGCCTGCCTCAATGAACAAAAAGAAACAAAATGCCAAGTCCCAGCTCCGAACCGCTCTGGGGACTCCCTTACACGTGACCCCACCGCCGGCCCCGCCCCCGGCCCCTGGCCCGCCCTCAGGTCACGCCCCTCGCCGGAGCCACGCCCCTCCGCGGGCTGGCGCCACTTCACGCCCATACCCACCGCCCCTCCTCGCCCCCTGCACTCGGCGGGAGCCTCGTTCACCCACCTACAGGCTCGGAGCGCGGCGGACGTTCTCGCGAGTCTTCCCTCCCAACCCCCACTCACACACCCAGGCTGACGTGTCGCCCAGACCCCCAAGGGAAGCAGCCGTTTTAACTCTAGTTCTGCAGTTCTCTTACCGGGTGGTCCACGCCGGAGCTGTTTCAGCAGTTTGGGCAGTGGTGGAAAGGACGCCACCGCCCGGGTTCTGTGGCTTGAAAGTTTGGCTTTGCCTCTTACTGGTTTTTTGTTTTGTTTTGACTTTTTTGGAATTTTCCCGCGGTCGCTCGGCAGTGGTGCCGCGTGCGCGCGCGCGCGCACGTGCCCGCAGTGCACTCTGGGGCCCGGCGAGCGGACACTCGCGTCCCCGCGGCATCGCGGGAAAATTCCGACGAATCTTGGGCTCTTGGGGGCGGGGCGGGGGCCTAGCGCTGGCTCGGCCGGAAGTCGGCCTGGGGGGTGGCCTCCAGGGCGAGTGGGGAAGCTGCGGGTGAGTTCGTTTTCTCTGGGTGGCTCTGTGTTACAGTCATGGACGTGCACTAGACCGCAGAAGGGACCCGGGGAGGAAAAACCCGGGGTTTTTAATCGGGTTGTTGCCCAATTACTTCAAGATTCTGTTCAAAATGCAGGGGAGGTGAAATGGAAATTAGATTTTTACAAGAAAAATTGAGTCTTTTTGTCAAGGGGGTAAAACCGCTAAACAAGGCCTAGAATATGATTTTCTAGCTGTGGTCACACACAAAAAACGAATCTTTCTTGGGTTAAATGACACCCCCAACCCCCACCCCCTGCCAATCAGTTCCATATGGTATTTGATTCGGGTTCAAATCAGTTCAAAGCTGTATTTAAACCACTTAAATGGGAAGCAGCATTTTCTGTAAACTTTCATTCATGTCAATAATATTAGCTTGTCCTGGTGAATTTTTCTTATTCTGGAATTCAGTAGTGCATGAAGGTTTTTCATAGATGTTGAAACTGTGAAAATAATAATTTGAAGAGCCTAACCTTAATCGTAGTTTTGTTTTTTTAATCAGTTGCCTCATGATCATAAAACCACAACTTCAGGGGTGTTTTCAAAAAAACTTACTACAAGGCATTGTATGCATATAATAAAAATAGGCAAACACTTCCAGCCTTCTAAAATGAAGGAATACCTATTACCAAAGAATAAATTGAATTCAGAAAGAATTAGAAGCCATTCTAATGGAATCCATCCATTATAATCTTTACATTCTAGAGGGGGAAACACCACAGCTGAGTGCTGCAGAGTTCCTGACATCAAATATTCCTTCAAAATTAAACAAAGTCAACTGACTTGGACTCTAGCCATTTTAGTAAGACTCATGATCCCAGAATTAGTCCAGACACCTAGTTTCCAGCTGTCAATTGGCACCCCAACACTTAACTTTATCTTGTCCATGCATGCGATGTTTGCCTCTGGTATCTCAACTGTGAATATTTAATGGACATTAATGTTAAGTCCCAGGCATGGGGCTGACTCCTTGGCCAAATTATTTTTTTAAATTCTCACAGTGATCTTATGTAGTAGGCAATATTCCAGTTTCGCAGATAAAGAAACTGATACACAACACTAGTAGAACAATCTCTACTAGTAGGTATTGTACCTTCAAGTCCAGGTCGGTTAACTCTGGGGCTTGTGCTTTTTCCCACCTGCTATACGCTTGCTCACGCCCCAGCCTGGGTAGGGTACAAGTGGGGACAGAGAGATGTGATCCCAGAGGTTTATTCATGTTAATCACCCCTCTGTTTTCCTCTTCATACATTCTAAGGAAATGTACATTGAATTAAAGAAGAAAACATGAAGAATAATATTTGTGGGGCCGGCCGAATGGCACGTTGGTTAAGAGCTGGCTTGGGACGCCAGCTCTGAGCAGCAGGGCCCCGGTTCAGATCCCACATGAGGGCCAGTGACACTGCCCTCTACAGCTAAGATGGTGAACACCAGCTTAACCTGGAGCTGGGCTGCCGTGAGGTGACGGCGTAGGCTGCAGCACCTGCTGGAGTGGGCCGCCATAAGCTACCGTGTATGGCCGGCAGCCAGCATGAGCGGCTGGCAGCCAGTGTGAGCTGCGAAGAGCCGCCGTGAACGGCCATCCAGAGGCCGGTGACTGATCTGCCTCACTGGGGAAGAGCGCAATGATAATACCAACATGGGCCAGTGAAGCGACGTCCTCCACAACTAGACTGAAGAACAAAAGGACAGCAACTTGTCTGTTCCCCTTCCCCAATTCCCCCAACGCTGTTCCCCTCCCCCAATTCCCCAATAAAAACTTAAAAAAAAAAAAAGACAAAGAATAATATTTGTCCAGGAAGTGCTTCAAGAAATTGTGCAAGTAATAGTGCAGGTATTTGATCTGCAACCCTGATGTGGTAAAGCACCTGAGGTCAGGAAACAGAGGGCTCCCCAAGGTGAGTTGGAATTAATGGAAAAGGGGAAATGTTTTATAACTTTCATGGTATAGCCTCCTCTTCCCACATGCTCGCTCACTCCCTAGGCTCTGCTGAAAGAATGAACCTTAGGAAGACATGTTTGTACCAATCACCCCGCTCCCTGCTACAGCTACTTGAACCAGGAATCGGAACCTGACCTTTGGTGAATCAATCAAGCTATTGCTAGGGAATTTCGAATTTCAACACTGAGAGGCTGTACCTTCTCTACACCACAGGAGCCAAACCTCCATGCCAACAAAAGTTACTAGGGGAAGAAACAATATAGCAAACAAAAGAGAAGTTGAAAGGCCAGGTTATTCTGTGAGAGATGGAGGGTAGCTTCCATTCCCAACGTTCCATTTTTAAGCCCAAATTTAAGGCACACTGACTCTACTTATTTTCCTCTTCTTAGTTGCCCATGAGCCCCATATCCTCAACAACAATCATCCCTTTATCCTGACTTCAATAAGTTTCCCTTATGCAAAACAAGTCCTGACTTAAGGACCTGGAGGTGGCAGCAATTCTTTGTGTCACTGAGCATTAGCAATTTGGCTGAACCTACTTCACACATTAATCAATGGATACCTAGTGAGAACCTTCCAAGAAGAAGGCATGAAGCACATAGGGTGGGTTGAAGACAGATCTGAGTATCTTGGAGTTGGGAGAAATGTTACAGGTCTAGGAGTTCCCTAGATTTGGGGTTTCTAGGGCCAGTAAGGTGTCAATAATATTAGAGGAGTAACAGTTGACTTTTTACTTTGGGGGGGAGGGGGAAGGAATCTATCATTTCAGTTTTTAAAAAACATTTTTTAACTTTAAGAAAAAATAAGGTGACTCAAAGAATAGTCTTGTAAAGCAGATAAATTTCGTTTCACAAAAAATTCATTACATTATCCTGTGAATATTGTAGAATGGAGAAACAATCCTATCATTGTGCAATCTCTGGCATAGAATGACCAGAAAACAAAAATCTGTCCTTTTTCCATTGAGCAATGGTACACCCTGTTTAAAAAAAAAGAAAAAAGAAAAAAAAAATTACGGCAGTTTTAGTTTAATTTTGTTTAGTTCAGTAAAAAAATGCATTCCTATTTAGAACATGCATTCCCACCAATCATGGTGTGTTGTAACTAATATAGTACATTTTTATTGCTTGCAGAAAGTAATAAATTACATTTTTAAATGAGCACATGACTTAAAAATAATTTTCCTCATAAGTATTTCATAATGATTCATTTAGCATGAAATTAATATTAAAGACTTGCTAAGAATAAGCACTAAAAAATTCGAAATGAAAAGAAATTATGCACATTTATGATTTGATTAATTCTGGCAACTATTAAGTCAAAAATAAATAAGTTTCATCCTATTTTTGTGTCTGTTTCAGATTGACCCTTTAATTGCCTAGTGTTTTCCAATAAAAACTAGTTGACTGCATCTTTTTATTTATTCATGTGCTAAATTAAGGTTTTAGTAGACTCAAGTCATACCATAAAACAACCACTTGGGGGTGGGGGACATAGGGAGATGTTGGTCAAAGGGTACAAACTTCCAGTTATAAGATGAGTAAGCTCTGGGATCTACTGTACAGCAGGATAACTATAGTTAACAATACTATATTATATACTTAAAGGTTGCTAAGAGAGTAAATCTTAAATGTTCTCACACACACACAAAAAAAGAAAATTATGCGAGGTAATTGAGATGTTAACTAACCCTACTGTAGTAATCATTTCACAATATAAAAGTATCAAATCTTTCCACTGTATACTTTAAACTTACACAATGTTACATATCTCAGTATTACGTCTCAATAAAATTAGAAAAAAAACCCTACTGCATGCAAAGGAACAAACTTCAAACATAACACTGACAAATTAATATATTATACTATTATTCCTCAAAATCCAAGATCTATAAGGGCAAAAGGAAAAAATTAACACTTAATAAGCCCCTACTATGTGTCAGGCATTTTGCTAAGCATATTACACTTATTGTCTCATTCGATTTACTTTCTGTGACATAATCTCATCACAGGTAAGTGTAATAAAAATGTTACTCCCATTTTGTATGTAAGCCGATAGAGATTTAATGTATCAGAGAAAATCATTTTAACTGTAAAAAAAAAAAATCAGGACTGCAAGTGACAAAGTATCATTAATAAAAAACTATTGCCCTTTATTTGGGGGACTCTCAAAACTTCAGAAGGTTTCATACTTCTTGCTTTCTGTATCTCTTTGTCTTCTGTAGTACTTTCCAATTGCTAAGCCACAAACTTAGTGGCTTAAAACAACACAAATTTATTATCATGTACTTCGGAAAGTCAGAAGACCCAAATAGTTTCAGTGAACTAATAAAACCAAGGTGTCAGCAGGGTTGTGTCCTGTCTTGGGATCCTAGGAGGAAGAATCCATTTCCTTGCTTTTTCTGGAGGCTGCCTGCATTCTTTGGCTCATGGCCCCATTCTCCAATTTCTCCTTCTCTAACTCTGATCCTCCTACCTAGCTCTTATAAAGACCCTTGTGATTACACTGTGCCACCCAGATAATCCAGGATAACCCCCATCTCAAAATCCTTAGTCACATTTGCAAAATCCTTTTTGCTATACAAGGTAACATACAAATTCCAGGGATTGGGACATGGATACATTTGGGGGGCCATTATTCACTTTACCACACCCTATCTGTGTATTTAAATAACTTCGTTTTCAGATAATGATTCATAATACCATTTGAATGTCGTTTCCACAGCATTGAAGACAGTTGCATCCCATATAACTTTTAGAAAACCTTTTTTTTCTGCAAGGACTCTTCATTTCTTGTAGTGATCATAACAGATTCCACTAATATTTGCAGCTAAATCTACAGT